AGCAAACCTTGATTTTGCCATTTTAGATAAGGGACACCATTTTACTACACCATTGTATTTAATGGGACTTGCGCATCCACGGACTCCTGAAACCAAACCCCCTGCAAACACCAAGGGCCCACTGTACTAATGAAAGTCAGCCGTTGCTGCATCCACACTGCAGAGATAATCCAGTTTGACACCACTTGGTCCCAGTGGGTTTTACATGGTCGAGCCGGGATTCGAACCCTGGTCTCCAGAGTCATAGTCCAATGCTCAAACCACTATGCCATGCTCTTTGTCTATCTAATATCCCACTTTTCTTCCAGGGTTTAGAACAGCTCCCAACACAATATTTTAAACACATAAAAACACACCAAATTATATATATATATATATATATATACATACATACATTAAAACATTAAAACATAACAGAATTATTCTACTAAAGCACAACTTAGACATTTTTTTAAAAAAAAATCACACTAAATAGCCAAATATAGTGATTCCCAAACTTTGCTCTTCCAGGTGTTTTTCACTTCAGCTCCCAGAATTCCTGACACTTAACCAAGCTGGCTGGGGATTCTGGGAGCTGAAGTCCAAAACAGCTGGAGGACCGAAGTTTGGGAACTACTGGAACTCTAGCACATTCATTTTGCAAACTCTTGAGTGGAAGGCCCCCATGAGTCCCTATATTGGGAGGAAGAAGGCAGGATATAAGTAAATAAAATACATTAATATTAATATTAATAATTCCAAAGGTTTGCATCTTTGGTTTCTCTCTGACACTTCCAGCTGCTAGTACAGATAATGGCAAAGGATGTTTTTCATTTAGATTTCGGCATTGATCTTCTGGGTGGGGAACCTGGTTTCCTTGTCCCCATTCATCATCACAACAGCACAGCAAGGCAGACAGGTTGCTAATGTGCCCATTTTACAGATATCAACCAGAGAGATGTTATCTGTGCCTAAGGGTCATGAGATCTAATCGAGGTGGAGCATGCCTCAGTGTTTTCCTTCCTCATTCTCTCTGTGTGAACATGGCCTTTGGTTTGCTAATGGTCACGATAATTAGTACCATCGTCCAGTAAATGCTTGTTAATAAAATAAACAAGAGCTATCAGATGTTAAAGATGAAAGGCAGCTGTAGCTTCAGTGCTGGGAGCAGTCTTCAGCCGCCTTTGGAAATCTGCTTTAATTCCCTCCAACTCCTTAAAGTTTCTAGTCCTCATGAATGTGTGTAATTTCATGCTCAGATTAATCCCATTCCTCCGTTGGCGGATGTCTCAAATTTCATAGCCACTTGGTTTGCACCCATCTGTGTGCAGAAGCGTAGGAGCCTCTCTCGGTGCCCATACAAAACACTCCCATGTTAGAGAAGTTCCTTTTTTGGACTCATAGTGGCTAAAATGGCTGCGTGAGTGAGTTCTGGGGATTATAGTCCAAGTAGATTTAGGAATTGAGAGCCCGCGTGGCATAGTGGTTGGAGTGTTGGACTAGGACTCTGGAGGCCAGGGTTCAAATCCTGGCTCGGCCACGGAAAACCATTGGATGACCTTGAGCAAGTCACACTCTCTCAGCCTCTGACAAATCTTGCCAAGAAAAATTCATTATAAGGCAAACCACCTTAGAGCTGCATAAAATAACTAACAACAGGTCCATAAAGTAAGCTTGGAAGCATTTCTCTCTCTCTCTCTCTTTCTTTCACACTCTCTCAGCCTCAGAGAATGGCAGTGGCAAACCACCTCTGAACAAATCTTGCCAAGAAAACTCCATAATAGGTTCACCTTAGGCTTTCCATAAATCGGAAACAACTTGAAGGCACACAACAACAACAACAACTTTAGTAAAGATAAATAGAGCCAGTACAAGGTAGTGGTTTGAGCATCAGACCACAATTCTGGTACACCAGGGTTCAAATCCCCATTTGGTCATGTAAACCCACTGCCTGACCTTTGCTAAGCTACACTCTCTCAGCCTCAGATGGAGGCAAAGGCAAACCCCATCTAAACAAATATTTCCAATAAAACCCCACAATAGGTTCGTGGGTTCACGATAGGTTCAGAAAGAGCTAGAATGGTGTGGTTTGAGTGGTGGACTATGGAGACCGGGATTCGATTCCCCGCTCAGCCATGAAGCCCACTAGGTGACCTTGGACATGTCACACTCTCTCAACTTCAGAGGATGGCAATGGCAAACCTCTGAAGAAATCTTGCCAAGAAAACCCAATGACAGGTCTGCATTAGGTTCGCCGTAAGTCGGAAACGACTTGAAGGCACGCAAGAATAGCAAAAGGTTCGTCTTAGAGCTGCCATATGTCAGAAATGACAGAAGGCACACGACAGTAAAGTTTAGTAAAGCCCTTTGCCAAAACAAAACAAAACAAAAAAAGGGGGGAAAGAACTTTTCCAGATTCCGCTCTTTCTCCTCTTATCCCGGAGCATCTCCAATTTGGGTTGCTCCTCCTTTCTCTCACAGCTGATCCCCCAAAAACCTCTCCAGAAACATGCCAGCGAGGCCTCCAAATATCTGCTTTCCCTTTAAGTCTCCCCAGGCAGGAATGTGAGAGTGTTCCAACCATCCTGCTGCGAGCTCAGATAAGACACTATATTTATCTGGCTGGAAACCTGAGCTGTGCATTTCTGCTTACACCACCGTGGATGCCTTTGGGTTCATTCTGTGCCGGAGAAGTTCTCCTCCTGTAGATCTTCCCTTCCCGGAGAGCGGGGAGGGATGGAAAAGTCATCTCTTGTAGCCAACAGGTTTGTCCTTTGAGGCTCCTTGTGCATAATAAGTTCCTTTTTAAAAAATTGTTCCTCTTCTTGCATGCTCATAGAAAAAAAAGCAGCTTGCTGAGACTGAACTGAGCACCTGCCCTGCATCCGGAGCACCAGCCTTATGCCACGAATCCTCGGGCCTGTCATTCCGCACACAGGTGGGTACCATCTGGACGGAGACCTAAGGGGTCATGCAGATGTTCCTCCTCCGGTCACAAAGCCTCCAAAGAAAGCTTCTTCTCCAACTGGAAAACTTTGCAGCTGCAAGCTTTATTTTCCATGGTTAAGTCCCGCTTGGCCTTCTTTTCAATCTTTTGCCTGTTGTTGTTGTATGCCTTGAAGTCGTTTCTGACTTATGGCGACCCCAAAGCAAACCTACTATGGGTTTTTCTTGGCAAGATTTGTTCAGAGGGGGTTTGCCATTGCTTTCCCCTGAGGCTGAGAGAGTGTGACTTGCTCAGGGTCATCCAATGGGCTTCATGGCGGAGCTGGGAATTGAACCCTGGTCTCCAGAGCAGTAGTCCAATGCTTAAACCACTATGCCATGCTGGCTCACAACCTGCTGGACCTCTATTGTGGGTGGAAGGTAAGACTTTCCAAATATTGTCAAGTTGTTTATTGTGCCACCCCTTCCGCCCCTTAATTTATTTTTTTATTGCTTTTATTTTATATAATTGTAAGTAATTCCTTTATCCTCTCCTTCTGTGTGTTGAACTCATTTTGCAGCAACTAAAGTAAGCTGAGGACAAATGGACAAAGTGGGAGAAGGAGAGAGGAAACTGGGGCATTTTACAAGCAGGTGAAAAAGTGGGATGGCAGAGGATTAATTGGGACTGTCCCTGCCAAATTGGGATGGTTGGAAAGTATGCTAGTTCAACCCCTTGTCATGCAGGAAAGTCTCTGAAGTTTGTAACAAAGAGGAAATCATTGGATACCTTTTTAACGTATTTGTTAAAATATTTATATCCTGTCCTACGTTGCAAGACATCAAAGCAGTGGACAGATAGAATCAATTTCAACCCTCTTAGAGAACAATTTGAAATTCAAAACAACAAGCTTAACTTGAACTGTACATAAGCATATGAAGCCATTAAAACAGTTTAAAATTATATGCTGAGTTTCCCTTATCTGCCATTTGAATATCCAAAATACTCCAAAATCCAAAACTTTTTTCATGGGTGGCTGAGACAGGGACACCTTTGCTTTCTTCTGGTTCACTGTACCCAACTTTGTTTCATGCACAAAATTATTAAAATTGTTATATATAAAATACTAAAGATGGCTATGTGTACAAGGTGTATATGAAATAGAAATGAACTTGATGTTTAGACTTGGGTCCATCTCTAAGACATCTCTGTAAGTATCTGCAAATAGTCCAAAATCAATAATAATAATAATAATTAATAATCCAAAATGCTTCTGGTTCTAAGCATTTCGGATATGGGAGACTCAGCCTGTATGTACCTGTGCAGAGATGTGCAAAAGTTAATTTAAAAAGCCAGTTTTATCCCAGTGTTGTAATAAAGCGTTGCTCATTCCTCAACCAGGGTGCCACCGCAGAAAAGGACTGGTCTAAACAGTGCAGGGAGAGGAGGCTATAAACTGTTCAAAAGGTGAATTACTACTGCTAGAGATTTCAGAGACAATTCACTTTTTCTTTTAGCCAGGAAAAAAGGGTAATCTGGATAGGTATAAGGGCCACAAAAATAGTTTTGGGGCCACATGCAGCCCTTTTGGCCAGATTTTGCCCATCCTTTGGCTAAGTGGACAAATAGCCTGCCAGCAGTGTTGGACTATAACTCTGGAGAGCCAGGTTCGACTCCCTACTCAGCCATGAAATCCACTGGGTGCCCTTGGGAAAAGCACACTCTCTCAGCCTCAGGGGAAGGCCATGGCTAACCTCCTCTGAACAAATCTTGCCAAGGAAACCCCATGATAGGCTCACCTTAGTGTTGCCACAAGAAGTCAGAAATAACTTGAAGGCACACAACAACAACAAAGTCTGAAGCAGCTGCCTCTGTTTAGCCACCTACTAACGTTAAACTGAGCAGACTCAAAACTCCTTCCATCCCTACTTGTCTCTCTTCAAGGGATCTCGACCTCAGATTTTGCCATTCGGTACTCCAAAATCCTTCTCTTTGGGCTCGGCTACAGAAGGTACATGACATGATGATAAAGACAGCAGTGCCTCTGAGCATGTGCCAAATATTGCACCCACTGCTGCTATCTGTAAGCAGTTTGGAGCAGAGGCAAGGCATCTGGTTTTAGGCTGGTCTGAGCTTCACCACCCATCCTCATTGGGATAAATCTATATTCCAGACTTGGCTTGGTTTGATAACTGTCTTTAACTGTCATGGCTTCTCCCAAAGGATTGTGGGAATTGCGATTCGTCAGGGGTTCCGTAAGAGAATCAGATCCCTCGCTTGAGACACATAAACGCACGCACACAACACACTTATCTGGAGCAACAGTTCCCAAAGTAGTCTGGGAGAAAGAGGGGATGACAGGTAGGCCAGT